CTGCAAAACATTTATTCAATATAGCGTGTAGGTTAGCTGAGTAAATAAATCCACACAAACCATCAGATGAAAACAGCGTGAGTGATTCAGCTGTACCGCGTGCTCTCTCTTTGACCATCTCTACACATTGATTCATCTAGAGCTGCTGCACGCTGCGATAGAAGATTTTAGCTCGCGTTTCGGGACAGTTGACAGAATTGTCAATTGCCTAATCGGTCATTGTTACATCGTTACAAAAATTGATTATTTTCACGTCTTTTTAAGCCATTGGGTACTCGCGCTCTCCAGAGGCGCTTTCTGTGCGCTCACAGTCACACCGCAGTGGTACCACTGCGAGTACCAAATTGAGAAAGTACTGTCGGGTTTGTCTTAAGTTAATGTAAACAGTTGCAAAATAAAACGCATGGGTATCAGTATTGGATCCGTGAAATAGGTCTTGTGACAGCAGCCTAATAAAGCTGTGCCGTCTTTTATTAATGTTAATCAAACAACAAAAGACAGAGAAAATCCCTTACTGCTCTTGACTAAATAATGTTTTGTTGAATAACTTTTAATGTTAATTTACAGTTTATTCAATTTCTGTAACCTATTTAAAACACGTTCATAATTTAGAAAATGTAGTTAATACTTGCATCATTAATGATTTATTTTATCCACCCGCGACCGCAAAAATCAGAATGCATTTTTTTATTACCCGACCCACCCGATCCGCGGATATAACCGCCATCCGCGCATCACTAACTCCCAGACTATTTTTCCTTGGCTCCACATCCATTAAACCCAAACCTCCTTTTTCCACCATCCCTATTAAAAGTATTGTACGCAATTCTATCTGGTTTCCCTACCCATAAGAAGTCTAAAAAAACATCTTTTCAACCTTCTTTCCACCCACACATTTATATGTGACATAGATGTCACATATAAAAAATACCACAATTTTGATGTCATTAAATCATTCAGGATTAAAACCTTCCCTTTTAAATGTAGTGCCCTCAATTTCCAAAAGTTCAGTCTTCTTTCAATGCTTCCCACTATTTCTTCCCACATGGTTTCTCTCGCTTTATCTTCATCTTTCCCATTAAAATTCCTAAAATCTTCATTTCTTTTACTTTCTTAAATTTAAAACTCCCCGTTAAATTTGTCGTCTGCCCAAATCTCATATATACAGTTTTTCTTCATTTACTTTTCCTCCTGACCCCTTGCAAAATCTCTGTAAATCATTTTCTTTTTCTTTTTTTAATTGTTTCAACATAATTCCCATTCTTTAAAATGTCTGTATTTAAAACCCATACCCCTGGCCCTCTTTTCCCAGCATCCCAATCCAAATGTACAAAAAATGGCTTATGATCACTTAAACTCGTTTCTTCATACCTTAAACTCTCTATAAAACGTTCTAAATTCCTTGTACATAAAACCATATCTATTCTTGTTTGATAAATGAAATTGCCTAGTATTTGTCTTCTAGAGTATTCTCTTTTGTTTTCGTTCCTTTCCCTCCATACATCCACCATATTGTTTTCTTCCATTAGTGATCTTAACTCTTTCCTTCCCGTATCACTTTTGAAAACCATGCCCTCCGCTATATCTTGTTTGCTAAAAACTGTATTAAAATCCCCCAGCATAATAATATATTTATAATTCCTCACAATTGTCTTGATAATGTTAAAAAACAATCTCTTTTCTTTTTCTTTCGTTGGTGCATGTATGTTGACCAGTATAATATTCTTCTCTTCATAAATCATTTCCACTACCAAACATTTACCTATTTCATCTTTGTATATTTCTTTGCATTTTACACCACTGTTTTCTCTTATTAAAATTGCCACACCTCTACCATTTCTTTCATCACCATTATTATAAAGAAATTCACCGTTCCACCTTTTCCTCATTTCCTTTATAGACCCTTCTGTCCAATTTGTTTCTTGTAGCATTATTATATCTTCTTTTTTACACATTTCTTTTACTTTATCAAACTTTCTTACATCTTGAAGTCCTCTCGCATTAAATGTTACTATCTTCACCATCATGAGACAAAAAAGAATATATATCAAACCCATCAATTATCATTCTTCCAGGCCTAGAAAGTTTTGTAAAAATAAATAAACTCAAAAAGTTTTTGAAAAGTCATGAAAATCTATTTCACAAATCTCTGTATAATATAATAGTTTAATCAGATTCAGAATTTCGTTGCGGGATTGTGCATAGCCTACATCGCATTACTCATTCACGCAGCTGACTTTAAAATGCGTGAAATTACTGCAAAACATTTATTCAATATAGCGTGTAGGTTAGCTGAGTAAATAAATCCACACAAACCATCAGATGAAAACAGCGTGAGTGATTCAGCTGTACCGCGTGCTCTCTCTTTGACCGTCTCTACACATTGATTCATCTAGAGCTGCTGCACGCTGCGATAGAAGATTTTAGCTCGCGTTTCGGGACAGTTGACAGAATTGTCAATTGCCTAATCGGTCATTGTTGCATCGTTACAAAAATTTATTATTTTCACGTCTTTTTAAGCCATTGGGTACTCGCGCTCTCCAGAGGCGCTTTCTGTGCGCTCACAGTCACACCGCAGTGGTACCACTGCGAGTACCAAATTGAGAAAGTACTGTCGGGTTTGTCTTAAGTTAATGTAAACAGTTGCAAAATAAAACGCATGGGTATCAGTATTGGATCCGTGAAATAGGTCTTGTGACAGCAGCCTAATAAAGCTGTGCCGTCTTTTATTAATGTTAATCAAACAACAAAAGACAGAGAAAATCCCTTACTGCTCTTGACTAAATAATGTTTTGTTGAATAACTTTTAATGTTAATTTACAGTTTATTCAATTTCTGTAACCTATTTAAAACACGTTCATAATTTAGAAAATGTAGTTAATACTTGCATCATTAATGATTTATTTTATCCACCCGCGACCGCAAAAATCAGAATGCATTTTTTTATTACCCGACCCACCCGATCCGCGGATATAACCGCCATCCGCGCATCACTAACTCCCAGACTATTTTTCCTTGGCTCCACATCCATTAAACCCAAACCTCCTTTTTCCACCATCCCTATTAAAAGTATTGTACGCAATTCTAGCTGGTTTCCCTACCCATAAGAAGTCTAAAAAAACATCTTTTCAACCTTCTTTCCACCCACACATTTATATGTGACATAGATGTCACAATACCACAATACCACAATTTTGATGTCATTAAATCATTCAGGATTAAAACCTTCCCTTTTAAATGTAGTGCCCTCAATTTTCAGTCTTCTAGTCTTCTTTCAATGCTTCCCACTATTTCTTCCCACATGGTTTCTCTCGCTTTATCTTCATCTTTCCCCATTAAAATTCCTAAAATCTTCATTTCTTTCCTTTTGTCCTCTATATACATTTCATTTTCTTTTTCTTTTTTAATCATGTCTTTTATTGTTTCAACATAATTCCCATCCTTTAAAATGTCTGTATTTAAAACCCATACCCCTGGCCCTCTTTTCCCAGCATCCCAATCCAAATGTACAAAAAATGGCTTATGATCACTTAAACTCGTTTCTTCATACCTTAAACTCTCTATAAAACGTTCTAAATTCCTTGTACATAAAACCATATCTATTCTTGTTTGATAAATGAAATTGCCTAGTATTTGTCTTCTAGAGTATTCTCTTTTGTTTTCGTTCCTTTCCCTCCATACATCCATCATATTGTTTTCTTCCATTAGTGATCTTAACTCTTTCCTTCCCGTATCCCTTTTGAAAACCATGCCCTCCGCTATATCTTGTTTGCTAAAAACTGTATTAAAATCCCCCAGCATAATAATATATTTATAATTCCTCACAATTGTCTTGATAATGTTAAAAAACAATCTATTTTCTTTTTCTTTCGTTGGTGCATGTGTTGACCAGTATAAAATTCTTCTCTTCATAACTCATTTCCACTACCAAACATTTCCCTATTTCATGTTTGTATATTTCTTTGCATTTTACACCACTGTTTTCTCTTATTAAAATTGCCACACCTCTACCATTTCTTTCATCACCATTATTATAAAGAAATTCACCGTTCCACCTTTTCCTCATTTCCTTTATAGACCCTTCTGTCCAATTTGATGCCCTCCGCTATATCTTGTTTGCTAAAAACTGTATTAAAATCCCCCAGCATAATAATATATTTATAATTCCTCACAATTGTCTTGATAATGTTAAAAAACAATCTCTTTTCTTTTTCTTTCGTTGGTGCATGTATGTTGACCAGTATAATATTCTTCTCTTCATAAATCATTTCCACTACCAAACATTTACCTATTTCATCTTTGTATATTTCTTTGCATTTTACACCACTGTTTTCTCTTATTAAAATTGCCACACCTCTACCATTTCTTTCATCACCATTATTATAAAGAAATTCACCGTTCCACCTTTTCCTCATTTCCTTTATAGACCCTTCTGTCCAATTTGTTTCTTGTAGCATTATTATATCTTCTTTTTTACACATTTCTTTTACTTTATCAAACTTTCTTACATCTTGAAGTACTCTCGCATTAAATGTTACTATCTTCACCATCATGAGACCGAAAAGAATATATATCAAACCCATCAATTATCATTCTATCTCCCCCAAGTCCTTTAACAGTTCATATCTGTTTACATTTTTCAATGAGTCCCCTTTAACTACCTTTTTCCTTGCCCCAGCCAAGCTTGGTTTTACCTTGATTGATCTTCTTCTTTTCATTTGTTTCCCAACTTTGTCCTCCTTTTCCTCTTCACTGCCCATCGTTTTCTCTTATTAAAATTGCCACACCTCTACCATTTCTTTCATCACCATTATTATACAGAATTTCACCGTTCGTTCCACCTTTTCCTCATTTCTTTTATAGACCCTTATGTCCAATTTGTTTCTTGTAGCATTGTCTTCTTTTTTTACACATTTCTTTTACTTTATCAAACTTTTCTTACAACTTGAAGTAGTCTCGCATTAAATGTTACTATCTTCACCATCATGAGACCGAAAAGAATATATATCAAACCCATCAATTATCATTCTATCTCCCCCAAGTCCTTTAACAGTTCATATCTGTTTACATTTTTCAATGAGTCCTCTTTAACTACCTTTTTCCTTGCCCCAGCCAAGCTTGGTTTTACCTTGATTGATCTTCTTCTTTTCATTTGTTTCCCAACTTTGTCCTCCTTTTCCTCTTCACTGCCCATCTCAACAGTCTGTTCTTCATTCACAATCCTTTGATGTTCTATTCTGTCCAAAATTTTTTCAACAGTCTGAAGAATGTCCATTTGCATATCCGCTTCTCCCCCTTGTTGTGCTTGCTCTTTCTGTATGTTACTTTCTTCACTCTGTT